ACTCTGTTGTTGATTTCTTTTGATGTGCAAAAACTTTTTAATAAGATGAAATCTTAATTGTTGGCTTTTTGAAGTATTTCTCATGCAGTTTGAGTTTTAGAACCTGATAAGATTTTCTTAATCACTATTTTACCCAAGCATTATTTCATGTATGATAGTCAGAACTGCCATACTTCTCAAGGAACCTTAAATGTATAAAATAGTTAGGGAAATAACAAACTTCAGTCTCTGCAAAATTTAGTGACAATTAAGATCAGTGGAAATACAAAAAACAGCCTTAATTTCTCATTTTTATAGTCATCTACTTATTTTAAACTTTTCTCATGTTATTTCTGCCAGTATCTAACTTATTTTGAATAGTAGATATACGTATGAATTTATTATTCATTTCTATATTTTTCATAGTGAAGTTTAGACTTATATTCTACAAATACTGCTTTTAATGAACACCTCTTGAGTTTGGGGGAACAAAAAGAATATGGACAAGCAATATAAGTACGCTTATTAGATAATAGGCACAAATGTTACTTGAAATGTGTTATTACATCGTTTTCCTGAACTTCCTTCACAGTCAAGGGTGAGAGGCGTGTGTTTTTCATTCTGGAGACCTTTGACTAAGATCATCTTCACCCCAGGAAACCTCAAACCATTCCCCAGTCATCTGAAAACACAAAGCCCTCTAGTCTTCCCTCAAAGTACTTCCGCCTCATCCCAAAGGAACACTTTAGTGCCCTTGCTTGTGTTACCTTCCAAATATTCTCTTTGGTTCTCTGTTAGGTTCCTATTGCTACAAGGATAAATGACCTCAGATTTAACAGTTTAAGCAGCACAATTTTATTATCTTACAACTCTGTAGGTTAAAAGTCTAACATAGGTCTCAACAGCTAAAATCGTCTGTAGTAGAGATGTGTTCCTGTCTGGAGGGTCTGTGGGAGAAGCTGCTTTGCTCCCTGCTAGCCCAAAGTGTTTCATTCCTAGCGTCCTTCTTTCATAACTAGTCAGCATTGATGAATCTCTCTCACTGTTCTTTGTGGTCACAAAACTCTGTGATTACCTAGGAAACTGCCATGTTAAGAACTCATGAGATTAAACTGTTTTAGGGTACTTTCTTCATCTCAAGGTCAGTAATCTTAATCACATCTGCAATGCTCCATTTGCCATGGGACTGTCGCATTCAGAGAATATGGATGCTAAGATATTTAGAAAATTAAGATATTCAGAGCATATGGGTATCAGATATTATTTGGGGCTATTATTCTACCTACTGTTGATTCACAGCAATAATTTTCTATCTTACATAAATTACTACACTTGATCTTAGCCAAAAGGCTGAGAAGTGATTACATAAATTACTAAATTCTGTAATAAAATTGTAACAGGAAGAGAAATAGCATTAGTCACTTAAAATCCTCTGTAAGTCCTAGGGCTGTTATGACTAAGTGATAAATTGCATATATAATATACTGTTATTCTCGTGTTCTTCCAAATGTTAGCCACAAGATTTTGTAAAAAACAGGTCAACTCTTTATTGTTTGTGTGATGGGATTGAATGTTTTTGGACTGTAAATCCTCATGCAGTGAGTTTGTTTCAATTTTATTGGAGCTATTCTTTCTGGACATTTTTTGTTCTAAGAAAGATAGGGATAGGTTTAAATTTTTTTAAAAAATGCAGATCTATGTATCTCACCACATACTAAACCAAAACCAAACTGGATCAAAGATCTAAATGGTAAAACAGAAATGACTGGAAGCAGCACATTAAGATTAAATAGGTAAACTGGTGGTCAACTTGTAACACCCAGCTGGAAGATTAAATAGGTAAAACTCTTGAAAACATTCAGGAAAGGGCTTTGTGAACTGAACCCCAATTGCTCAAGAAATTAAGAATCAACAAAAGAGAATATTTTAAATTAAAAGTTTCTGCACAGCAAAGGAGACAATAAACAATAAATAAAGTGAAGAGACAATCTACAAAATAGGAAAAAATCACCAGCTATTCCTTCGACAGAGGACTAATATTTAGAATATATAAAAATGTAAAAACCTGCACCCCCAAAATAAAAGACCCAGTCAAACTTGAGCTACTGAAATAGACAATTCTCAAAACAAGTAGTGCAAATGGCCAATAAATACATGAAAATATGTTCAACATCGCTGGCCATCAGAAAAATACAAATTAAAACAACACAGAATCCATCTTGCTTCAGAAAGAATGGCTATCATCAAGAAATCACATCATAACAAATATTGGCAAGGCTGTAGAGAAAAATACCTATCTACACTGTTTGTGGGAAGGAAATCTAATACAACTATTATGGAAATCTGTGTGGAGATCCTGAAAAAATTAAAATTTGAAGTTCTATTTGACTGAGCTGTTCCCTTCAAGGTATCTTCCCCAAGGTACCATATTACGGTGATGTATGCATACTCACGTTTATAGTAGCACAATTCATAACAGCTAAACCTTAGAAGTGGTGTATATGTCCATCAACAGATGGTTTCTGTCCAACAGAAGCGGCTTATATTTCCAGAAACAGATGAATGGATAAGTAAAATGTAGTATTTATACAAAATGTAGTACTACTTCCTCATAAAGAAGGGTAAACTTCAGTCATTTGTAGAAAAATGAATGTACCTTGAGATCATAACATTAAGTGAAGTAAATCAAACAGACAAGCTTAAATATTGTATGATTTCTTTTATATAAAATGAACAAAATGAATGAAAAGGGATTAAGATGAGTTATGTACCTGTACTAACTCTTCAGAAGGAATGTAATCATTACTTAACACAAACATGTACTACTAAAAATAACAGCTAAAAAATGAAATGCAATAAATTACAGAGGCTTGAAGGCCTGAGGACTGTCATATGATCTTCCACATTTAGTGCTCTGTGTAGGGAATCAATCATTCCAGTACTGTGTATGGTTGTGATAGTCTCAAAATCCTCCTTCTGATTCTTCCAGCCTGAAATGTGCATGTTTTCTGTTATAGTTTCAGTTGCTCTGCCACATAAGGACTGTGGGCTGCCTCCATGTTAAAGAGAGTAAACCAATTAAAAGTAACAACACACACCTTACCACTTATCTATCTCATTTTTTTAAGAATCTACCTGCTTCTTTACTCTCCTGAAACTTCAGATAGTTATTTAAAAAAAAAAATCTGGCCACAGAGAATTAGTTACCTTAGAAGGATTATTCTGCTAGGCACTTAGTCACCCGTGGCAGAAGGAAACTTCCATGCATATCCAGTTTTGACAATGATTAAGCCCTTCTTCATGCCCAATCACCTCCGCTTTACCCATGCACTCCTACCCGCATGTTGTAGTCAGGAATTTACAAGGGAAACAGTACCGTACAGGACACATTGTCACAAGATTATTTTATAATAGTCATATACATAGAGAGTGCAGGAAATCTGTCCACATACTAAAGACCAAAAGAATGTAGCTGAGAGCCTGGATCCCACAGCAATGTCCTGCATGAGTCCAGATGAAGACCTAGAGCCTATAACAATGCCCCTCATGAGTCCAGCTGGAGGCCTAGAGCCCAGGACAATGTCTCATGCAGATCTGTTTCAAGGTTCTGTGCTGAGAAGGTCCAAAGATCAGTGGTGGAAGCTAGAAAGTGCCAGTGGGAGAAGTATCTGTGCCAGTGGGATGAAGGATCTGTGCTAGCAGGCTGAGGGATCTGTACTGGAACCAGGCAGCGATGATCAAAGGAGGAACCAGAGCTCCCCTCAAAAATACCACAGCCATCCTCAGCAACAGTGAGGTCGCGAGATCCTCCAATGATGAGGAAAGAGAAGTTCCCATCAGGAAAACCAATGTGACAACCTTCTTCAGGAGCCTGAGCAGTGTACCATCTTCCCCTCTGGAGCCAGGAAACAATGCTCAAAGTGAGGACCAGAGCTCACCCAAAGTGAACCATAGGCATTCTCAGTGACAACAAGGTCCTGAGCTCCTTTGATGATTAGAATAGCTGAGTTCATCAGGACAGCTAGTGTGAAAAGCTCCTCCAGGAGAACCAACAGCTCCCTACAACTTCTAAACTTTTTCCCATCCAGTCCTCTTTTTTATGCTGTTGGCCATAATCCTCAGGTGGGCCTTCCACACCCAGCACCATGCTGCTTCAGTTCAGCTGGGTGTTACAAGTTGACCACCAGTTGTCAATCCATCACACCACACGTAAATGTTTGGATTACTTCTAGCAGCAACCAGACATGAGCCATTCAATCCTTTCCATCTTATCTCTACTTGATATCTGATGTGGTTGAGAATGAACCAAATCTACCATCTCTATGTAGATCTTTTTTTTTTTTTTTTGTATCAGGAATTGAACTCAGGACCTTGTACTTGCCAGGCAGGCGCTTATGCCACTGAGCTACATCCCAGGCTACCATCTCTATGTAGAATTAGATAATTTTAGACTTTTATAAAGTAGACAACTTCTCTCTCTCTCTCTCTTTCTCTCTCTCTTTTCTTCTCCCCCTCCCCCAACATATATATTGAGGATTGAGCCCAAGGTCTTTGCACTAAGCTATATCAACATTTTGAGACAGGGTCTCGCTAAGTCACTAAATTGCCCAGGCTGGGCTAGAATTTAAGATCTTCCTGCCTCAGCCTCTCAGAGTGCTGGTCCATTTGCCAAATTGAGCCCTTCTCAATTTGACACTTTTCAAATATTCAGAGCAGCCTAAGGATCATGGGAAATCCCTATGAAACCAAAACCTCTGCTGTGCTCCTGGGCCTCACATCAAGGAACAATGCTGCTGTGGCTCAAGCTCTGCAGCATTCTAATTCCTCAAAAGAATATTGGACTTCTCTCACTCACTTTCAGTGCCAAGGTACTGGCTGTCATTCTGTCCCTGCGGAGGGGCAGTGGGACGTGCCTTGGGTCAGTTGGATCAATGTACACACTCTTAGCCTTGAAAAGAACACCCTCTCCCAGGAGTGAAGATAGTGAAACATTATTTACGTAATTTATAGTAGTGCTTTCTTCTATTATGTCCCATGAAATGACTGACGCGACACTCACATTTGAGGATTCTTCTGGAACAAGAAATAACCAGGACAAAAATAACCTAAAAAATAGAGGTAGGAATTCAGATAAAATAAGTAGTGAACTTGGAAATGACCGATGTTTTGGCTTTGAAATGTTTTCTCTGATACTGCTACAGAGATATGTGCAGCGGAATCTCACAAATGGAGACAAATCATTGCCTTCATGATACAGTGAAAAGATGGTACGATGAACCAGTGTTGAAGAGAAAATGTTTAACTTTCAGGACCTCTTTTAATTGTGCATGTGTGTATATCAGTGTGTGTCACGGAGGTTTACATTGTAATGAAAATCTTTTCCTGAATGTGTCACAGATTGAGTTCGGGAACCAAGAGATTTCTGTTTATAAATTACAACATTTCTTTATGCCTTTCAGGAAATGCTAGAGGAATATCTTTTTAGAAGCCAGACTGGAGGTTTTAAAATAGAGAATGTAGAGGAAAATTTTTCTGTTTGGTGCATTAAATAACTGAAGGAAAAAATCTGGAGGATACACAGGTCAGAAATGGGCAAAAACTAATCTCTTTTTAAGTTATGGTAGTTGAAATCCAATGCATAATTTGTAATACTGAATTAAGAAAACAATACCTGCATAGTATTGTATATATATTACATCACATCTTTATCAAAATATAAATGTGAAGTAAATGAAAGAATATGGTATTTTCTCCACTACATAGATGAGAAAACTGAGATTGAAAGAAATTAAATGATTTAACCAAAGTTATGCAGCTAACGTGTGTAGGGCCCAGCCATGGATCCAGCTTCAACTCATTTCTTTACACTCACATAGAGAAAAGGCCGGTCTCTGTGGCTGGATGTCAGTTTGGTGTATAAGTCCATATCCCTTAGCTTAGGGAGGCTGCTAACTATTCAGGTTGTCCTGAATCATCTGAATTATATGAATGACTTTCCTCTGCTCTTCAGATTTGTTTTTGTTTGTTTGTTTCTTTATGCATCTCTGTGCTGGGAAGAGTTTGGTGGGGGAGGTTACACAAAAAATATGACAGAATAAACTTTGCATATGTCTAATAAAGGTGACTATGCCTTTCAGGCTTATTTTGTTTTTAAATTCCAACTCCTTTGAGGAAAAGAGGAACACGGATATGGTCCATGTGACAGTACGCCTGGACATTATATTAATCAAAACATTGGGCTAGTTGCAATTAGGTCTTGAATCAAGGAAAATGGAAGAAATATTATATGTACATGTATTTGAAGAATTACATACTGACTTTCTGGTTTATACTACTATTTGTAGGTTAGATTGTACATTCTTTTGTTCAGAGTTCATTCATCATTTACTTGGTGTTAAATGGCAGGAATAATAAATAAAAGTTATTTGTAGAAGATAAAAGTTACTTTTAAAAGTAGAATCCACTTTTATAAGGCAGGTAGAGCAATCTGCATCTTGGAAATCTGCACCATTCATAATCTGAGAAACTTGAAATCTTGCTTATTATTATTAGCATTATCCAGAGAAGTAGTTTTCACAACATAACATTATGAAATCAGTGAATCTGAAAATGAATGGAGAGTGATGATGAAAACAAGCCTAAAAGTTTGGAGAAAATTACTGTTCAAAAAAAAAAAAAACAGTAGCAGAGAAATGGAGGAGAACGGGAGATTGGGTCCTTATCGCACTTCATATCAGGAATTTTCTGAAGAGTGGTATTGAAGAAATGAGAGAACTTTTAATAGCTGGTTACTCCTTAAGTGGGAGAAATAAGGTGTGAGGTGTGCTGGCTCCATGGCAGTTCTCTTTACTCATTCTCCCTTCGCTGACTTTCCAGGGAATTCAGTTCCGTCCCCTGTTTGGCGTCAGGTTGCCCTTGGTCTGCTGACTCTTTGCCTGGTGCTGCTGCTTGGGCTGGTGGTCTTGGGGATTATGTGTAAGTATATTTGCAACAGAAAGAAAAGTGATTAGGAAGCATATTTGTAAACCATGTAAGTTTAGCTAAGGTTACAAACAGATGTTAATATTTCAAATCCTCTAATACACTTCTGCGACCTCATATCTATTATAATCTCCATGTCCAGCAAGGGATATATTCTATGATTATGAGCATTCTGCCCCAAATTTATTGTTTTTCTTGATAAAGTAGATAGGTTTACAAGAAAGACTCTAACTTTACTACTTAATACTGTAGGAGCTTTTTCCTACCTAGAGACATGCCCACATATATTCCAGCGGTGACAATCAGGGAATCAAGGGAGATATATTTAAAGCAAGGCATGCCATTTCACTTACCTTGAAGACTTAACATAAGAGTAACAATCTAGAACTTTCTAGTATGGAGAAAAATGAGTAGAGCAACAATCTGACTTGTATGAATAAGAACATCATCCAGACAAGGAGGAAAAGGGCCCTAACATGCCAAACCCAGGAATTGAACAATCTCTGCATAACATTAGAAACTCCACTCCCCAGGGCCTAGGATAAAAGGAGATATTCTCCTGATTCTGACCCATATTTGGAACACTGGGAGTGAGACTCCTGTACTAACATTCTGGATATAAGTTGGAAAACATCCTAAAAATACATATTTTATAGAATACTGGCATAAAGTGGTGATTTAGCACATAGTTTATTTTCAGGAGACCTACAGTCAAAAATGTTTGTTTGTTGACACTAATGTCTACACTAATACATTAATTTCCTTTTGTGTATGTAAGATCTCATGGAAAATTAAGATTTGAACAAACCTCTTTGGATATATGGAAGTTTATGATACAGCCTGTTTTGAAAAAAAGTGATGTCCTAGCAGAGAGGATAAGTGTCCAGGATCTCATCATTATGAGAATTAGCAGTAAATCTTTTACGATGGAAACTTTAGAAAAAAATGAATGAAGCTGGACATGGTGGCACACTGGGAGGCTGAAGCAGAGGAAAGTCAAGTTCAAGTCCAGCTTGTATAACTTAGTGACTTGGCAGCACCTTTTCTCAAAATAAAAAATAAAAAAAAAAATAGAAAAGGGCTAGGAATGTAGCTCAGTGTGAAGGCTCTGAGTTCTATCCCTGGTGCCACACACACACACACACACACACACACACACACACACACACACACACATGCACACGAAGAGGTAATGATACATGTTCATTAGTTCACCATAGAAGGGTGAAGTTTTTTCCTAATATTCTGTGTACTTTTAGGGTAAGTGTTCATAAATTTGTTGTGCTGCTTATAAGTCAGTAAAAATGAAGATTTATTGGACCTGGGATTACAAATCATCTGATACACCATTAAAATCTGCTTTCAAAAATATTTCCATGTAGTCTGCAGACCATGCTTTGTCCCAAAGAATTCTATAATTATATTAAACTATATTAAAACTATAATTATATCAACAATTCCAATCTACCAATGTAAATCCACCAATATAAAGGGAGAGATGTCTTAGATAAAATGTCAGATATATAATTACTAATTCATTATTTTCATATTAGTACAATAATAATTTTAAAATTAATAAGATTATAAAGATGAATCATACATAATTCAGAATAGATAGGCATTTGGTGGTTTCCTTGAGTCTTAATTCATGTTTCAAATATTAAGTTACTAATAAATACTAAACAATATAAGAAATATCTGTGTCAAGAGAACAATTGATGACTATTTGAGAAAAGAAGAATATTATGAACTGGTCTCCTGTTCTGTTTTGGAGTTCTGCAGATGTCTAGTGAGATGAACTCAGATTCAGAGAAATCGAGTCAGCTTCCAGAAGTCATTCACCACCAGCAGAATAATTTATCCCAGCAACTGGGCAACTACAAGATCATCCCCAGGGAGATGGAATTTCTCAACTCACAGGTATCCAATCTACTGAAGAGGCAAGAGCAAATGGCCATCAGACTCTGCAAAGAACTAATCATTCATACTTCAGGTAATTAGACTTAGCTCTTCTAACTACTCAGATAGAACCTATTGTACTGATTTAAATTGCTATGTAGGGTACTTTGAGATATGAGAGTTATGTCACCCAGTGCCTTCTAGATGATGTCACATTAAGTTTATAGCCAATAAAGGAAAATACAGATTTATTAATATTTTTGAAAACACAGAGACAAATTTGGGTACCATCTTAGAATGATACCTATCAGGTTAATAGCCCTTAGTTATTCCTGGCTGATCAGGCCTGAAATCTCCCAAATGGTGGATGGTGAAGGCTTAACTAAATGAGACAACTGAAATGATTTCAGGCTCCAGGAGGGTCTAACTTTCTTACAGAATTTGAGATTCTCTGGGTTAAGACAAAGACTTCTCTGCACAGCCTATATTTATTAGGTTTTCAATCAAAGGAGAAGGATACTCAAGAAAACACAGAAATCTAGCAGGACCTTGGGAAATATTTTCCCAAGTAGTAAATTATGTCAATCAGGAGAACTGCCTTATCTTTAGGTTGGCATTTCTTGTAGGAGTGTAGAGCCTGCAGCTGCAATCTCCTTTTAGTTAATTGGGGTTGGAGCCAAACATCCTAAACTGTGGCCTTATCTTGTCCTTTGAGGTGTCACAGCTTCACAGGCCAGTACAGCCTCTATGGTGACCAGGGACTCATAGAGTTTATAGATTTATAATTTTTTAAAAATATTTAAAAAATATAAATCTTTACATAGTGACATCCATTGGACTATGAGTGCAATGCTCATCTCCAGACAAAGTGCCTAAACTTCTTCAGACAACTCACAAGTAAACATGGAAAGCCAATTGATTATTTTGAAATCTTGCCCAGAGCCACTTTGTAGTGGTCTCCATCAGATACCAATCTGGATACTGCAACCTCTCATTTTATTAACTCTGCCTCATAAGCCTGTTATAGAAGTTAAGAGCATAGCTGATAATTCTGAGGTCAGAAGACTGAACTATGAAAAGGGAATCCCCATCACTCTAACCCATAACGAGGGATACTTTCATCTTCAAGAGCTCCTTAAAACAACATGCTTTTATGGTTTTGGCTCTCAGATCCTGTTGTACCAAAATGATTTATGTGTAGTTTCCAACCTTTCCCTAGTCACCTGAGGGTCATTGCATTTATACTGTTGAGCATAATTTTCTTTTCAGACCACAAATGTAATCCTTGTCCTAAGACCTGGCAATGGTACCAAAACAGTTGCTATTATTTCACAATAAATGAAGACAAAACCTGGAGTAACAGTAGAAATGACTGCAGAGACAAGAACTCCACCTTGGTGAAGATTGACAACTTGGAAGAAAAGGTATGATCGAACGTCCTTCCTTCGCTGTATTAATTCTCCACACTGGGAAAGTAGTGGAGTGACATCCATATGATGGTAATTCAGTAGATTTTGAATGAAAATTAAGGAATCTTATGAATGTTTCTGACTTACCTTTCCAAACTGAAGTACAGTTTGCTTATAAAGTTTCTCTTCTGCTTTCTCCCAAGGATTTTCTTACATCACAGCCGTTAAGTACACTTTCTTACTTTTGGCTGGGTTTATCATGGCACCCTTCTGACAGGAACTGGCTATGGGAAGATGAGTCAATTCCTTCTCCATCCTTGTAAGTCTCTAGTTATTTGGTTTGGAAGACCAAGTTTTGCATAGAGTTCTGAGAAAATAAATGTGAATTGTGAAGAATCATATATCTACTGGCCATGGTGGCACTCGCCTGTAATTTCAGCACTAAGGAGGCTGAGGCCGGAGGATTGTTGCGAGGTCAAGGCCATCCTGGGCTATAAAATGAGCTCAAGGCCAGCCTGAATTGCATAGTGAAACCCTGTCTCAAGGACAAACAAAAATTATAAATCTAAATGCAAGAAAGAGTAGAGCCCACAAAGAATTTCAGTGACAAATATTATATGGAAGGATAACTAATTTCATTGCTGTAATACAATCATGACAAGGCACTGAACTTTATCTACATAAATTTATTTCTTTATTTAACATATGTTATGTGTACATATAAAAGAATTTGAAGTTAACATTTCCAAAATTCTTTATAAACAAACTCTTCAAAAAAACTCTGTTGTGTACCCATTTTTGTTGATCAAAGTATTGTTAATCATTGAGATAACTTAAATAAATTAATTATGTATTGAGAAATTAAATGACTTGCCCAAGATCATACTCAGCTCCAAAATGACAAAAGCAGGACTGAATGCTGTATGACTGTGTGTTCAGTCACTCCAGTAGTGTGCTGTCTAGCACAACAATCCAGAAGGACAGTGTTTGTCATAAGAACACAGTTGAATATGTTTGTTTGTACTGAATAATTGTCAGGTATATTCTAAGTAAGCAAGTGTGAATTGATTCCTGAGTTCGAGAATGAGTGTCATAATGAAGACTTGTTAATTAGATGTTATGGCCAGTGTTTTTCATGGATTAAAAAGCTACATCTACTGCTCTAAAGTCTTGATTAATATATTTAAAGTCTATATGCATGTGTATAAAACACTTGAGAAATTGCATTTTTACAGCTACTTAAAGCCATGAATAATTCGAGGTCACTGTAATAACGAGCCTGCTTAATTGCCTCCTTTCTTCTGTGTCTACCCTAAGACGGCCTCAAAGAGAGACCCCACCCCACAGGGAGGCAAAAGACCAGTAGCTACTTCCGGTCAGGCTCAGACCTACGCAGGCTGCCAACTGGACAGGGTGTGGACTTGTGAATGTCATATTTCTGTCATATTTCTCTGTTTTGTTGTTGTGTCCGTGGGTGGAACAAGCACCTGGACTCTGTTATGACAAGCAACTCATCAGGATCATAAACTTCACTATCAGCAAAGCATTCAAGATACAAAATTTAGGGAAAGAAAATCTTTCACTGAAAGGGGTGAAAGGGAGAGAATAGATAGCTGCTCCAATAAGAACCAGAGCAAGGGGAAAATGGAAAGATGGTTACCTGTGGGCCTTTGTCCCTGGCCTCTCTTCTAGGGGGTCAGAGACATTTTGGCCCCTCCCAGAACTTTCCATAACTGGGTTGGTTTCTGGGCTCCCTTGCCTAATGTCCTCTCTTCTGGTGGTCTATGTGCAGCTTCCTTCTAGTTTGTATTTTACTTGTCCTTGAGTTACTTTTTAGGGTCTTATCTTTGGGCTGGGGTTGGCAAGGGGTTTCCTTATTCATGGTTAGCTTACAGTTAATGAGGGGGTGTGTGGATAGCTGTTGTACTCTATGTGATGAACACAGTGACTCTAGAGTGGATACATATGTATATGTGTGTCAGTTCATAGATGCCATTAAAACCTTTTCCCAAATTTAGCTACCCCCGTTCCGTTATGTCACCCTGTATTGTATTGGACGTGGATGGGGACATTGTTCTGAGCTTGCACTTGTGCACTTGGCTGTCTCTGCACTCTGCCTGTCAGCTCTTTCTCTCTCCGGTCTCTGGTGCAAGTCCCAAGGCCATTCGGCGCCTTTCTTTATCTGCTGTTTACTGTTTCTCTGATCACTGTTCTTGACCTACTTCCCAGGGGACTTTCTCTAGTGAAGTTTCAACTCCTCTTAGTCAGACTTAACCAGAAGATCTAATGAGACCCCTATTCTATATTCTTGTCAACTGACCCCTGCTCCTACACTATCATGAAAATTCCTATTAAAGTTTCTCTGAGAGAACTGATTTTTAAAAAATGCATAAGTGATCACATAGATTTTTTGCAAAATTCTTCAAAGAATATGAACCAAAAAAATTTTGGCGAGTATTCCATATGAGAACTATATTTACATTGCCCATTTTTATTCATATTTTAAGAATAATGCATATTTTTATATAGGAAGAAGTTTAGAATTTTTGGCATCTTTCCAGGTATAGAATTATTTTCTTTCCTTCCCTTCTACAACAAGTGGTTATTCCTCTTTTATTCTATAACTTTTGTCAACAATATTTTCTTTTCTTTTTATTTTTGAGAGTAAGAGGAAGTTTTATTTTCTGTAGAATTTTTATTAGTATATGTTTTCAATATATTTTAAATACATTCATCATTGAAAATTGGTAGATATCCATATCAAATCTTGCTCCACTTTCCCTTTATTTCCCAAAGTTCATTATGTGGAACTGATATCATTCATTTTTGGTTAAGATGCTGCAATTCAGCTATCAACCACCAAATTCCTTGAATTATAATGATATGTCTGTTCTCTTCCCCTTAGATGTATTTTATTTTATTTTTTGCATTTCTCAAAGATTTGCCCAGACTATTTTTATTCGTATACTAATCTCTAAGTCTCTAATCACCATTAGTCATCATAGTGAGTTAATTAGTGTAGTTTCACACAAGTAAAATAGGCAGAACACCATGTGCAGAGTGATAAACAGAGAACAAAAATGGTAGTTACTTTGTTGTAACTAGAGTGATATTGGACATGTGGTGATTACTATTAATGCCAGGCTCTTACTGTTGCTCAACAGAAAGCTTGCAGGAATGGTACCATGACACAGCATAACTGCATTAGATTTCATTTTTTAATCTAAGAAGTTTTTCTTCCTATAAAGGATTTTGGTTATGCTTGATCCCTCTTCTAACTCCTGCTCAAAGTGCAGAGGAAGTGAGCCTCACAGAGGGTTTGGAGCCTGCAGATAGTGACTCTTTGTGTCCTATAGCTGTCAGGTAAACTGTGCCTCATACTCAGGTTAGTGGGACTGAGCTTCAATTTTCCCATTCATTTCCTTAGTTCCTGGGTAAAACCACTTTGACCGTGTATGTACACCAAGATTTACGCTAGTCCTGAACCAACACACTAACATGGTGACATAATGCAGATCACTAGTGGAAAACATTACTGATCAGAAAGAAGATTTAAACTAGACAAGTAATTTTTTATTGACATTATTTAGGGCTTAGGATCAATTTCTTACTAGAAGAAATGGGGAATATTATTAGAACTACAGCTGTATTGGCATTCTTTTCCTCTCTTAATGTCTGTTTTATTCTATTACCCCCAAGAATCTACAAATGCATGCAAAATTATATGTTCCTATGGTAAGATGTGATAACATTTTACATAGACTATGATCACTCTTTTTTTATTTTGCTTTTTTATTTAAAGCTTTGAAATAAAAATATTTTAATATTTCTATTAAATCTGGACTGGGTGAATTCCAGGAATGAAACTACATCTTGGTGGAAGGAAACCAAATTCTCAATCTAGGACTTAACGATTCTGAAAGAATTCTATCTGGAATCTGAGTTAACTTGAAACAAAGAACTCTGATGGGCCAGTGTTAAGAATGTTGATGCTTCGTGGTGGCAGAAGTCTCTCAACATTCATGAGATTGGCTGAAAGTTCAACAGAGAGTTGAACAATTAATCATAATTAATTGTAATAAATTAATTTTCAGGTTTAGCAGTAAAGAACTTGCCCAGATCAATGGATCCAAAGGATGCGCTTATTTTCAAAGAGGAAATATTTATGTTTCTCGCTGCAGTGCTGAAATTTCTTGGATTTGTGAAAAGACAGCTGCACTGGTGAAAGCTGAAGATTTGGATTAATATAATTTTTATAAATTTACCAAAACTTAAGGAACTTTTTATTTCAAGCCCATGTGTAGAAAGAAGCTATCTACTAGAGCCAATGGCAGCTTAAAAAGTTTCTTTGACTGTCTGATCAATCTTACATTCTTACATCTGGTGGACAGAGCAACTTCGTTGAAGATAACAGTATGTAATGTAGCAACCATTGTTAATTCCTATCAATCATTTTGTTCTGAGGTCATGTATCACTTTTGCTGTTTTTGTGTTGTTTTGATTTTGTCTTCATTGCGGTTTTGTTAGTTCTGTTAATCTTTAAAATAAAAAAGTGTCAGTATCCAATAATATCTTAAAATCCTGATTATTTTTCCTTGATGTATAGTCACACTGATTAACAGCCACTAGTGGCTTGGAGGGAAAAAAAGTGACTGTGTATTTCAGTTATTAGAGAGATGAACTTACTTCACAGAGCATTCTCCACTTCAGTGTCTGATGCTTTCTGATCCAGTCGCGTTGACTATTCAGGTTTAACTTTATTCTTGAGGACTTAGAGCAGCGCTAGTTCATGGCTCTGTTATTCTGTCTCCAAATGATCTCATCGAATTTCCTTTCTCTCAAATGAAAAACTTGTTTTTTGTTTTATTATTACATATTCTCACAGGCACTAGGGTGAAATTTAAACGTTAATATTAGAACTGATAAAGGTCACAGCATTGAGAAAGGTCTGGAAACCTCTGTTGTGAAGATTGCTAGACCATGTGGAAATTTGAGGATCCTAAGGTAAGAATTCTGGTAGCTAGGGCAACAGCACTGTACAAGCTGATTTGAAAATATTTTTGAACTGTTTGTCTAAACCACTGTATATCAACTATGTATTGACCTTCATGTACAAAATAAGCTCTTCCTCCTCTATATCACTATGAAAACACATTTTTATTAATCTTCAAAATTGATACAACTTGTGATTTAGATGGAGTAGAAACAGCATTTTATATTTATATTTACCATTCATTTAAATCAGTAACTGAACCTACTGATTTAGTAATATGAGTATTATTATCTAAAAGCTTAGTTTTTGAAATTGATATTTTAGAAAAACACTAATAAATTTGTTTGAAGACATGAAATTATGAGAATGATTTTGTTTGAAAACTTTGCTAGAAGAGTTTGGTAGTGACTTTGAACACTGGGTACTAAACATTGTAAGTTTAGACTTCAAGAATGTTTTAGAACATTGTTGATTTAAAATATTGGTAAAGAATTTTAATTAAAGAATTAAAGAGGTAAAGAATTAAAATTAAAGAATTTTAATTTTCTCATACAATTTTTATAACTACTTATAGTCTAAGGAGAAAAGTAAATTAACCTGTGACAATGACCTTAATGGAACAGTGATCTAAAATTTACTGTAAATTTGAAAATACTATGTATAAATCATAGATGTGCTTCAAGTGCAAAGCTGTTACTTTTCAGAGTACTGTACAACAACTTCATCAGTGCCATCTAGGGGCTCAATATTTATGTCTTGCATACGTACCAAAAGAGACTCCAGCACAATATAATAAAATTCACTGTGAACATTCACTAGGATTTGCAAAGAAAATAACCAGTATTTAAGAACAGATATTTAAATGTAGGTCAGTATTTTTACTTTTAAGTGAATGGGGTTTATGGGTTTGCATATAAGACTGAAACACAAGCGACATACACATGGATTTAAAAAGCCACTTTATTCTTTCATTTCTCTTTAGTACTTTATTGTCACTGCCACTATCGCAAAGATAAACTTATTCATTAAAGGTCAAAAGCTCTGCACCTCACTCCCACACACTTAGGTTTCTCTTTGCTTGTGAAAGATAATTGCTTCTGGTATTCTTCTATTTCTACTCAAAGAATGATCTATTGACAGCATTAATGTCCTTGTTTTGTTTGGTTGGCTTCTAAGAAGAGGTTACTGTTTCTCTTTACTTGGCCTCTTGTATCTTTTTATTCTTATCTCATGCACACTCTGATTTTTATACTCTAGAAGAGACAATTTCTTTCTGATCCCAGTGGTTCTGCATTTTGATCAGGAACCATTGTTATCAGCCTGCTCCTTGCTCCTTTGCAGTCATGGTGCCCTCCCCAGCAGCACCTGCCCTGGGTGAATCAATCCAAAATTGCTGGAGTACAGTTACCTTTTGGCTGCCAGAATGCTCCATCCTTTGTTGCTTTCCAGTATCATGGCTGATGCAACATGGCTTGTTCCTACAATCTTAATCTCCCCATCTGTTGCACTTTTCTGGTTTTGTTTGTTTGTTTGTTTTTTGTACTGGGAATCAAACTCAGGACCTTGCGCTTGCCAGGCAGGCACTTGTGCCACTGGGCTATATCCCAGGCATGTCGCTCCTTTCTGATCCAGACAAAATTCCTGGGAGACTGAGATATTTCATATTATGATGAGAGAGAGAGATATATAGAGAGAGAGAGTGGGAGGGGAGGCTCGGGGAGGAGAGGAGAGAAGAGAAAGAGACAAAGACAGAGACAGACACAGAGACAGAGACAGAGAGATAGAAAAACAGAGACTAACACTTAAGAAAAATTGCATCTCCAAGAAAGAACTCAAGTGGCTAAGTGAGCCTAAATTCAAAATGGAGTCTGGTAGCCATTTTCTGACTGGCACATATATAGTCATACACATATTTCATTTTCCTGAAAGAATCACAAACAGAAGTTTTGTACCCCTTGTCCAGACATGTTCTTGGTTTAAGTGCCAAGATGAACAGCCTCCCAAAAGCCCCATATTACCACATGTACAAAGCCAGTAAGCTGTGACTGGCAGTCATCCCTTGAGGACTGGTGTTTCCCATAGGCTTGCATGCCTCATTTGCAAAGTGGCTCAGAGTGGGCCAGGGCTTTCTCTCTGTATCAGCCAGCCCACCTCTTTGCCCCTACTGAGTGTACTTTCTTTTGGTAATGAAGGCTGCATCTTCCCAGTTTGCAAACTAATTTGTTTGCTTTTTGTTTTTAAGTAAATAAAACCTTCCTTTTATCTTACAGTCTTTCCTAGTGAAACTTTTTGTTGAAATTACTATAGATAGACATTACACATTACACACACTGTCAAAATGCCTAGGGAAAAGTCATATTTTACATTTATTTTAGATAATTTTTCTTCACTCATTAGCAATCATGTGGTTCCAAATCTGGCTTCACTCCAGATTTACATGGATAATCTACAAATAAGACAACTTCCCAGGCCATTGTCTCAAATCCACATAATCAGAGTAACTCAGGGCAGAATTGGCATAATTTAAGTTTTACAAAATCTGCAGTGATCTTTGATAACCAAGCCTGGGTATTTGACAGTGTTTATAGAAATGACCTCACTTTCACCTTTCTGAAAAAAACCCAGAGGCAAATGTTTGGAAACCATTCCCAAGTTGGATCGCTTTTTCTACAAAATCAGAAAACGTGGTTTGGGCTATTGTAGGGATCCAGTTTGACATGACTATAACCATGTTGGATGTAACTACCCTCTTACTTGCCATGTGACCCTGGTGTTACTGTGGATGATGGGGTCTGGGACAGGTTCCTATGTTCTGGTACATGATGAACAAAGAATTGAATACGGTATGACACTTTAAGTAAAAGTCAGGAAAGTTTGTTAAAGTGATAGTATGCTCAGAGTGACTAGGCTCCTGCCTGGGAAAAAAAATTGTGCAACCACTGAGGACATAAATTGAAATGCTATGACAGTTCTGGGGCATCTCCCATTGGAGTCTCCCAGAGTATGACTGACAGCATGATTAATACTGTGCTGACTCATGTCAGCTGCATCGTTGTGCATATTCATTCCCATTATTCACTCTGTTATAATTTTATGTAGGAGATGAAGTCCATATGTGTGAACCTTCAAGGTTACTGCAGGTCCTGCTGGTGGGTCTGGTGTTCATGCATCCTGGTTCAGATTTTTGGAATTTTCCAAAATGGGAGGCTTAGAGATCTTGGCCTTTGTTATACGTGCCTTCCTGTAGTAAGCTTTAGAACAAGGTGTGGGAGCCTTGCCCCTAGGGCACTTCTCAGGTTCAGGTGAGTGGAGAGGAATGGCTCTATAGCCCCAGTTGCATTATCTGTATTACTGGCAAGCATTCCTAAACTTATAAAATAAGTAAAATTATTAAGATGGCTAGATGAGCTTTTTCTGTTGGCCACTGATATCCAGACTATTTCATAATTGCTGATGGACATGTTAATGATTTTTGAGATGACCCAGGTACATTCCTGTTGATTGAGCCCTAATTTTATCTAGCCTAGCAAATAAACCCATTTATCCTGCTTTGAGGCACTGGGATCATTTCTTCTTTCTCCTCAATATGCTCCACTTCTGACTGTTGTGTGACTGGAAAAGTAGTTTCTTTTCTCACAGGGAGAGAAATATGAAACCTTAATAATATATTCTTCTTAATCTGCAAAAGTCTAAGCAGCCTGAACATAACATTTCACTGTCTGGCACTGTTTGATATGTTTTAGTTTAAAAAATAACTATTACCTTTAATGATACCCACTCTTTGGACAAGGTTTACATTTGTGTTTTGCAAGAAGAACATAGTTTTATTGGGTTTATGTGAATAGTCTTTGTGGTTATTATACTTCCCTTTGCTCTGTATGTCACATTGTTCAAGTTTACTGTTTCTTCTTTTTATGTCAAAGGAAAGAAAAATGAATCCTCTATTCAGGCTCTTTGTATACCACTTTACATATCTTTATATATCATTATGTACATGACACATAAATTGAACAAAACACTTCAAATTTAGCACTTCAACTTAAATGTATCTTTCCAGGTCGTGACACCAGGATAATCTTCCTTTCTCATATTTTAATATATTTGTAGCAATAAAAGCTAATCAGAGGAAGCATTCTGTATAATGTGAATCAATCCCATACATCTGCATCAATCCTACATCTCCATCTAGCTTACGTGTAGCTCTTTGTCTTGTCAAATACTGGAGAGGTTTCTTGAGAACGTATTTTAACTACAAAAGCTAAAGAAACATATGAAGATGTTGTAAGACCAATCCTGCCAACCAATTCTGAAGGTAAGATAGATAGTTTATTTCTTTTCTATGGCCTTTTAGTCATCATTCATTAACTGAAATTTAGGAATGAGATAATCTATAATGAAGTGTCACTTCTGTGCTACCATTTATTTCATTGCTTAGACTGTAGTAAATTATAGACTAGAGAATCTGTTTTATTATATAACTGACATCTGCCTTATTGTTATTTTCTTTTTTTTCTCTAACTGTATAGAAATATGAATGAGTATTCTATCATCCACATTTAATTTTTTCCTTTCTATAATGGCCCTATATAGAAAGACTGTTAGCTAACAAGGAGGTGATTCTTATTTCTCTTAATTTGTACTATTACATGGCTGCAGTACGTAATTTTTACATTCCCTGCAGGCCGTTGGTACATGTACATAATACATCTTGACTCCTTTTTCTGAATCCCCTTTTTCTCCATTCCCTCCCTCGTCCATCTCTTGATCCCTTTTCATTAGAGAAAGACATATTTGCCTGCTTCCTGTTGTCTATCTTTCATTTCTCCTCTTTATTAATATTTTGTGACTATCATGTAAGAGAAACCATGTGATATTTAAACTTGTGCATCTGATTCACTATCATTGTAGTCTCAAGGTGCATCCATTTCTCTAAAAATGACTCAACTTTATCACTCTTAGTACTCAACTGTGTATAAATATCATATTTTCTTTATCTGTTCATCTATTGATTGACATATATGCTGCTTCCAAAATTTAACTACTGCGAATTGTGCTGCTATAAACATAGGTATATAGTGTCTTTAATTATTTTAGCAGGATACCAAGAAGGGGAGCAGTGGGAACAAATGGAATTCCTATTTTTAGTTTATTGAAAATCTCCTTTATGATCTCCAGAGTGCTTGCATTAATTTATATTCCCACCAACAACTTAGAAGTTCTATTTTGCCCACAGCCTCACCAGCATTTGTTGCTATTTGATTTCTTGAGGATGGCAGTTCTTCCTGCTGTGTGATAAAATCTTACCATTGTTTAATTGTATTTCTCTAATGGCCAGTGATGCTTAACATTTGTTCAGGTATTTACTGGACATTTGCACTTGCTCATTTGCAAAGTTGTTCATTTTACTTGTCCATATTTTCATAGGGTCTTTTATCTTGGGTCAATCTCTTCTAAAATCAATATACAGATTTAAAGTAATACAATCAAAATGCCAACAGCATTCTTCACAACACAACTGGGGAAAGCAAACATAAAATTCATATGGAACCAAGAGAACAGGAAAACTAAAATCAATAATGGGTAACAAGACCAAAGCAGGAGGCATCACAATCTTGGACTTGAAGTTATATTATAAAACTATGGTGATAGAAACAACATGGTACTGGAACAAAAACAGACATGAGGATCAGTGGGACAGAATAGAAAATGCTGAACCACTCCAAGTACATTCAACTATTTGATCTTTGATAAAGGGGTTAAAAGCATATACTAAATGGAGGCATATATAATAAATGGTGTTGTGAAAAAAGACTATACATCTGCAAAAGACTGAATCTAGACCCCCTATCTCTCATCATGTATAAAGTAACATCAAAAGAAGTAAATGTGAAAATAGAAGCACTTAACCTGATGGAAGCAATAGGTAAACATCTTGAAATCATAGGCATAGGCAAGGACTTCTACACAAAAGCCTAGATGCACTGAAAATAGTACTGAGAATCAGCCAATAGGATCATCTTAAGTTAAAAAGTTTCTGTACAGCAAATAAGCAAGCAATGGAGTGAAAAGAAAACTTACAGGATAGAAAATTACTTTTGCCAGTTGTTCCTTAGCCAGATACTAAGGAACAGCTGGAATTCCAAATTCTGGAATGTTTGCAAAACTAAAAAAATAGACTTCTCAAAATAAAAAATCCAATCAAAAAGTGAGCAATTGAAATGAATAGAAGCTTTACAGAAGTAAAAGTGGGCAATAAATACATGAAAAAATGCTCAAAATCTCTGTTTATTAGAACAGTGCAGATTAAAACAACACTGAGAATCCATATTACAACAGAAAGAATGGCCATCAATAAGAAATAAAATAGTAACAAAGGCTAGTAAGGCTGTGGAGAGAGAGACCTCTTGCACACTGTTGGTGGGAATATAAATTAGTACAACCACTCTGGAGGTCAGAATGGAGATCTAAAATAAACTAAAAATAGAAATTCCATGTGTACCAGGTATTCTGCTTCTTTGTATCTTCCCAAAAGACTTAAAGACATCATATGACAGTGACACGGCATACTTTTGTTTATAGCAGTACCATTCACAGGAGCTCAATCTTGGAATCAATCTATACACCTATCAACAGATGAATAAAGAAAATCTGTAATTTATAGATGGTGGAGTATTACCTTGCTATAAAGAAGGATAAACGTCAATCATTTTTAGCAAAATGGATACACCTTGAGACCATGTACCACAATTTTAAGTAAAATAAATCAGATATCCAAGCTTAAGTACTGCCTGATTTCTCTCAGAAGACAAAGCAAATTATAGAGAGCAAAATAAGAAATACATAGTAGGAAGTAGAGGGATAGATATTTCTCAGAACGTGGATGAAGAAGTGGAAGGAGGGGGAAAAAAGGGAGGTAAAGGAGGTGAAAACGAAAGTACCTGCTCCACTCAACTAATGTGAACATTATGCACTGCAAACACATACTAATTAAAAATTCCTGATGTGATTTTGGCTTGTTCTTGAATTGTTATTGCCCTGCATTACTGTGCAAAATTGAGATGCCTATGAAACACATCTTCACTCAATGACCAGGGAAACATGCAAACAACAACGGATTCTTTTCGCCAAGTAATGTCCAGATAAACTTAGGACTCAGGCTGTAAGCAGATCAGATAAAAATTATAAGCAAGGGGCTGGGGATTTAGCTCAGCGGCAAAGCGCCTGCCTGGCAAGCGCAAGGTCGTGAGTTCGGTTCCTGGTACCGGAGAAAAACCAAAAAAAATAAAAAAATAAAAAATAAAAAATAAAAATTATAAGCAAAACGAAACCAAAAAATATATGATCTACGGTATAGGCAACCGGTATGATAAAAACTGTGCAAGATTTGAGATTTTAGGGAGACTCTAGAATGGAAAGGAAAACAGAAAGCCACAGGATCATCCACCCTGTGCTCTCATTAGTAGGGGTTAGCAGGTGAGAAGTTAAGGACCAATCAGAGTCGCTTGTCCTTGGCTCCAGCCAATCACGGGAAGTTAGCCCTTCCGCTGAAGGCGGGAACTCGGTGGGTGCGGGGTCCAGCAGTTGGAGGACAGAGGCCCAGGTGGACGCGGTCCGTTGGTCGTCAGACCTGCAGAGCTCAGCACGGTTTCTGCTGCAGGGCTGTGTGCTCCCTTGATCTGGCCTTGTTGGGCCGCCTTCCTCCAAGGAGACCCGCTCTGCATTTCCTTAGGGCTTACAGGCCCCCAGTATATTGGTGGTCCTCTATCCCAGGATAATTCCAGCCTCTGTGATCACAGAGGCTCTTCTTTGATGAAGGTCGGAGATGGAGGGAGAAGAAATGGAGAACAGGAGGAAAAGAAGAGTGCAAGGTTTGCTAAAGGCAGGGAGTGGTGGTCATGGCCTGTAATACTGCAGAGTCTGAGGCAGGAGGGTCGCAAATTTGAGGCCAACCTGGGCAACTTAGCCAGTTCCTGATCCAAAATAAAAATAAAAAGGGGCTGGGGATGTAGCTTAGTGGTAGAGGGCCCTAGGGTTCGATCTGCAATATCACTTCCCCACCCCCCGCCTCACCCCAAAAATGCCTAAGGAGGATGAGGGCTTTTTTTCCAAAAGTCCAGTTCTGATTTTAGCTTCATTTCCTGGCCCCATCTTGACGTTCAGCATTTGGGGGGCAGAAAGGGGCAGAAGACATTACTCACAATAAGAGCCTTAAGTTAAGCAGTCTCCATTAACAAAGAAAATACTTCCCCCTCCCACCAGATTCCCTTGCTTGGATAACGCAGCCTGTCATTAAGAGGCCTGAGAAGCCCAGTAGAATTTGTAGCCTGGTTCTGCGAAAGGACACCAACAGGTGGCGCCACAGCGCTTCTCAGGCGGTGGCTGCTGCTGGTTACAGCTTGGTACCTGTTTCTCTTCCTGGGAGATGAATTACTGGGCAGGGAGTGGGGCAGCACACAGAAGATGGAGAAGCATTACTTGGGCTGTTGGTTTTTCCCCAGAAGATAATGACCTGTGTTTCCCTTACGCATAGCAAGAAGGAAAATGATAATCCTCTCAGTCTTGTTATGTGGAGGCCTTGCCGTTCTTCTTTGGGTGATGTTAAAATTTCCTAAAAAAGGTAAGTGAACGCTTATGCTAACATATTGAGAGTATTACTATTGCTCCAGTCTGATGCCGGTGACTAACCTTTCCCTTCACTGTTGTGAACAGTTGCAATCCGTCAGAGTATTCTTCAAATTAATCTTCTGTTTTACCTGCTAGAGTGATCAGTCTTTCAGTAAATCCTTACTGAGTTCAGGCATACTGTCAGGTGCTGATGGTTCACATGTGATGAGGGCCTGTTGCTCCTCCCTGGACGGAATGTATCTGTGACTGAAGAAACATAGGTAGAAATACACAGTTTTAACTCAGTAATATTTATATCTCACTTCCAACTTGTTCTAAGAGCAACACTTAGACAACTTCCAAATATGCCCATCCCTACAGCTACTCTACTATCTAGAGTAGACGAATAGGATGAGAGCATTTGTTCTAAAAGTGCAGTTCTAATTTTACCTTCCTTTCCTGGCCCCATCTTGACTTTCATCATTTGGATGCCAGAAGGGTAATATTAATAGAGCATTCACGATAATACTAATATACAGAGAGTATTCATATTATACCAAGTCCTATAACCTCTCACTTAGTCACTAGTATTAGTCTCATAAATCTCTTTTCTACATCATCATTCTTTTCATTCTCAATTGTAACATCTCATCAGCAATACAGCATGATGTTATCTATACTTCCACCGTTAAACATAACAAAATAATTGGATGTCATTTTTTAAAAAAAAATTATTGTACTTATTCTGCAATTCTTACTATTGTTGTTGGTAATGGGAATCAAATTCATGACCTACCTCTCTACTGGCAGGTGCTGTGCCTCTAAGCTGTATCCCTGGCCCAATTAGAAGTCATTTATCCTTTACCTACCAATTTATTTTTTCTCTTTGATAGAGTAATCTCCTGGAAACATTATTTGCTTTTTCCTAAGTTTTAACTTCCCATTTCTTTCTTCCCTCTACCCACACTGAACCCAGGACCCCATACCTGCTGAGCACCCGCTGTACAACTGAGCTCGTAGCCGTCAGCTCCAGGTGCTGTTCTGGTGTTGTTTGAGGGAGTCCTGGTGCTGGGATGAGACCCAGATCCTCACTCTTGCTGAGTATGTGCTCTCCCACTGAAGAACACCCAAGCCTTTCTGCTTCTCTATTAAGTCCACTGTTTTCAGGCTGCTGCTTGTTTTTTTTTTTTAGTTTATCTTTCAAGTTTATCAATAATTTCCATTTTGCTAATTGCAGTCAGTCATTGTCAGCCTTCATTTTACTTCTGAAAAACAAATTGTCTATCTTGCTTGAAAGATACCTCTCCTATTCTTTTTGTTTTTTTCCTACCTAATTTATTGCTGGTACTATCTGTGGTCTTCCTTATCTCACCGAATAGTAAACTGAACCTTCCAATTTTAGATGCAAAAACCCATAGTCATTTATTCCCTCTTTTCCTTCCCTTGTTCTAAATATAAGAAAATTCTATCTAGTGCTTCAAAATAGCAAAACCTGAACACTTTTCACCATCTCTGATTTTGTCACCTTATACCTAGCCATCATTTTCTTGCTTTTGTTATTCCCTCTGTCAAATCTGATTACCTTGAGGAGCACAGTACAGGAAAAATACAATGTTAGTCAAAATGTTATCTACATATATCTGTATTTTACATTTTCGGGCACCACACTAAGAAAGTGAATGGAAATGCATAAAAATAATTCAAATTGAATTTCACTTAGCCTAATACAGCAAATGTTTTATTCACTATGTAAGAGTAAAAAATTATTACTTAGATTTTTCATTTTTATAATGAGTTCCAATTCACTTTGGGTGTTATATTTGTAGGCGATCTGAGTTTGTACTAGCCACATTTTCATTGCTCAGTACTATTTGGGGATAGTATGTACATGAGCACATTTTAAAATTCTAGAGTTTTTAAAATTAATTTCTATTAGTGCATGCTTGTAATACAGAATGGTGATGTTCTTTTGGGGGAATTATTTCATGCATGTAATGGTTTGTGTCTAGATGTCCCCTTATAGCCTCATACAGTAATATGGCTTTTTCAGAGGTAGCTGAATCTAGAGTGTGTGATGCTGGGATTAAGGGTGTTTGATTAGTAAATCAGTCCACTGATTGGTTTAACATCGTCCTGGCTAGGATTAAAGGTGTGAGTGCCACAGCTGGCCTAGAGTAGGTGGCCTGCATACAGTATAAGGAACAGAAAGAGTCTTGTCTTTCCCACCTTGTTGCTTTTTCTGTCTTCCACTGCCATTAACTATTGCCCTTCTTCCATTTGCAACCATGCCTTTCAGCCAGCCCATTTGGGACATAAACCTCTACAAACTTTGTGCTGAAGAAGTCTTTCCCCCTTTAACTGTTGAGTATTTGTCTCAGAAATGAGAGAAAAGTACCTAAAACAGAACTTGGTATCAGAGAACTAGGGCAGTTGCTGTGACGATACCCGACCATGTGGTTCAGAAGCCTTTGAGAATGACTTACAGGAAAAGTTTGGAAAAGTTTTAGATGCTGGTTAAAAAAGTAGAACTGGAATGCTTGAGGTTGTACTATATGGAAGATTCTGCTCAGAGCTCAGCAGACAAGAAGGCTGATAGAAATGGTCCAGGTAAAGACCACGTTCAGGAGTTTTCTACTGGGAAGAAGGACAACATTGGCTGTTGGAATCCAGATGATGTGTATTATGCCTTGGCAGAAAGTTTGTCTGCATTTTGCTCCTGTCCAGAGACTTTGCCTGAGACTAACATTAAGGACAGTGAGCTGATTAATTTTGCAGAAGTAATTTCAAGGCAGTCTAATACTGAGGCAGTGGCATGGCTACAGTTGGGGGCTTATATCCAGATTTATGTTGAGAATTAAGAGCAAAGAGCCCAGCAGTCTGATTTAAAGCATTTTGAGATTTTCTAGAAAGGAAGCTGTGGATTGCAAAGAGAGAGAAGAGAATTTGATTGCTGAAAAGAAATAGGAGAATAGAAAAGATGGCCTGAAGACAACAGCACTCCACCCTTTCTGGCCTCAAAGTTGCAGAAGTGAAAGAATTTGCTTGAGAAGAAAGGCATAGCGAATCATATTCTAGAATGAGGGAGGCCACTTTGTGTTCCAGCATGGTGGTGGCCTGGAGAATTTGTTAGTTGGAATTGGATTCATAGCACTCAGTGATCTAGGTACTTGACCCCTACAACTAAGACAGAGGGAAGCCTGGTTACTACTTCAAAAAGCAGAAGACCTTGGCATCATCCACGTGGCTCTTATTTTACATGCATACATAATGGAAGAATGGTGGGGCCAGGAAGGTTTCCACCTAGATTTTGGAAAGTGGCCAGTCACTGGGCCCCTGTGAGAGCAAGTGTGTGAAGCTATAACTGTAAAACAAAAGGTACAGTGGAGGCCCTAGAAGTTTGGAGAAACCTAAAATATGGTTCCTCTGAGTAAAACTGCAAGGAGAGAACAGAGCAGGCCCAAGAGAGAAGCCATAGGAGCTGCAACCACTGGATGTGCCTTAGGGGCAGAGCCATGGAAGCCCTTTGGAGCTCTCATCTTACCACAGATTGCCTTGGATTCTGCACATGGAACTATAGGACTTAATATTAACCCTGCTGGATTTTGGACTTGTTCGGTCCCATTCCTTTTGGTCCCATAACATTGTTTGGTCCCATAACTTTTGGAATAGAAATGTCTGTCTTTTGCCATTGAATGTTGGAAAGGTTTAACTTTCTTTTCATTTGTACAGAGGCTCACAGCTAAGAGTTTTCTTTAATCTTGGAGGTGACATGGGACCTGGGCTTTTCACAGTGCTGAAACTATTCAGACTTTGGCAACTCTTGCAGATAGAATAAGGGGATACTCATGAGTCTTTGAGAGGCCAGGAGCAGAATGTTATATTTTGTGTCTAAATGTCCCCTCAAAGCCTCATGTGGTTATAGGGCTTTTTCAGAGGTGGCTGAAACTAGAGTGTGTGATGCTGAGTTTAAGGGCATGTGACGAGGAAATCAGTCCACTGATGAGTTTGGCATATTTCAGGCTAGGATAAGGGGTGTGAGTGCTATACCAGCCAGAAGGTGGGTGACCTCAATATAAGGGATAGGAAGAGTCTTGTCTCTGGCCACACCCCCTTGTTGCTTTTCCTGTCTTCTGCCACCATGAAATGTCCCTAGGCATGGAACACTGCGTTGAAGCTACCCAATTATGAACTGAAATCTTCTCAAACTGTGAATGAAATAAACCTTTTCATCTTTAAGTTTTGGTGTTGGATATCTCGTCTGAGCAACAAGAGAAAAGTAGCTAACACAATGCATATAATATAGCTTGATTACTTACACTAGTTTTAAATATCTTTTCCTTCCTTACCCTATTCTTTACTCATCTCCAGGACTCTATCGTCTAATTTCCAGTTATCTCACCTTTATTAATTAATTACATACACTTTAGGCCTTCTATGTAAAAGAAAGCATGTTTATTTAACTTTCTGATTCTGCTTTATTTTGCTTAGTCTACTGGTCTTGAGTTTCATCTATTTCCCTGTAAATTACATGATTTTATTCTTCTTCACTGCTGAATAATAGTTTATTGTGTATCTGCATCACATTTCTGTTACTATGAATCTGGTAATGGTCATAAGTAAAATCTGTTTCTGGGATTAGCTACTGTGAATTGTGCCCCTATCACATGAAAATGCAGGTGTCACTATGGTATGCTGTCTTTCTTTCAAGATTATACCTGGGGCAAGCTCAAATGAAATTACTATTTTTAATTCTTTAAGGAATCTCCATATTTATTTTTTTTGGCTTTGGGTGTGACATGGTGTAAAAGGAAACATTCAAACTATTCAAACAACTAAACTCAATCACCAGCACCGCACTGAGAGGAGAGAACATCTACCAGTAGTGTTGACACCTGAAGAACTAATCATCTATCAACCATTTTTGAAATGATTTCTACTCTTTCACTATCTTAGAAAATTTAAGGGAGAGGAGTAATGTAGGATAGAAGAAAAATAGAGAAATGAAGAAAAATAATTAAATAAGGCATCAGAAGGAAGAGAAAAAAGAAATAGTAAGTTTTCATCATCGTCGTCGTCATCATCATCATCCTAATTATATACCGCAAAAAGAAGAGATGTTTGAGATGTTATAAGAGGGGAAAGAAAGAAAGAAAGAGAATAAGTAAAGCAAGATAAGTGGAGATTGAAGAAACATTTTTGGGTGATTAAATTCAATTAATTAATGAATAGAAACACAAATTTAGAATTCATACGGACAAAACCCTTGGTGGTAGAACCTGACAGAACAAAGTATATTACTGTAAAAAAAAAAAAAAAAGCAAGTGTGGAAAGAGGGGATATTTGAAAGGGTGTAAGAAGGGAAGAAAAAAGGGGATACCAGAAAAGAATATAAGTGGGTATATATGGGAGAAAATATACAGGGAGATTGAATCCAATTAATGAAATAACAGAAAATTTAGCCAACCCCGTTAACCCTTAGAGTGGGGGAACATAACATGTCATGGTAAGACAGTATGAAAGCAGAAGCAAGAGCGAGCACTCATAGCACTTACAAACACATGGCCCTCTTGGCATATCAATAAGAAATACACACACCTACACAAGCAGGTAGGCTTTTTCCTCTTGTGGTAGTATATCTTAGAGTCATTATTCTGAATGCTACATGATAGGAAAGGGTGTGAGGTTTTTTACTGTTTAATCCTGAGTTCTCCTCCACCTCTCAGCAAGTAAGATAGTAATTTGGAATAGGCAGGATGCTGAGCTCTGCTCCTTATGGTTGTGGATACGCACCAGGCAGGCCCACCAGTGGTGGGACTAGGTCCAGGCCTCCAATTTTACACTTTTCCATACTGGAAACGAGGGCACTGGAGACTCACTGTGCATTGGATTTGTCACTTGTGCAGTCTGTGGAAAGATCCACAGCATGATCTAAAACTGCATGCGTTCCCAGATGCTACTTTTGGAGGCACAGCTGTCTGCTGTCTGCCTAACGAAATGTTTACTAATGTGAGAGCAGATCAGAGGCAGGATGGGCACTCAGGGTCTGTGTTTGTTTGAGTGCATTCCCCAGGGCTCCTCCTCCCAAACTCCACAGGGCTGAGCTCATTGCCAACCCCATTACTCAAACTGCTACCATTTTAGGCTGTTCATGCACCTCACTGAGATTCTCCCAGCCAGGATTTTGGTCTCTAGTGAGCTAGGGGCTGCAGTATTTCTCCCTATCTCATTATTGCAGTTTACTGTGCCACAGTCACCTTTTTTCTTGGCCCCATGCTAGTTATTAAGGCAGTGTAGTGAGGTACGGGAACATCGTAGAGTTTTCGAAAACCTAGGGAGTTTGTGCCTTGGCAGAAGGAATTACTCAATTTCACCGAAATCCCTCTAGAGCTTGTTCTACAGAGGTAGGGTTTGTAGGGGTGATTTCTCAGATATCTACTCAATCCCACTCCATCTAAGTATGGGCATTCTTACTCCTCTCTAGACTCATTTAGCTGCACTGAGATCTTTCTGTTCAGGCTTATGTCTTTACAACAGCAGAGAGAATGCTCAGAGGTCTGTGCTAAGTTTATCCTTCTACTTCTGCATGGGAGAAAAGCTCTCCCTCCTCACAGGCTACAGTTCACTCAGTGTGGAGTGCACTGCTTCAGTTCCTTTAGTCACCTTTGTAAGTAGCGGTGTTCCAGAGTTTGTACTGCTGCTGATTTCCTCAAGCTGCACTCCCTGGTTTCCTGTGGTTCTCCCACCTCCTCAGAGAGCCCTGTACTTTTCAATTGGACAAATGTTTAGGAGGCACTAGTGAGTGCTGACTGCTTCTTGCCCTCTTCCTTCCATCCTCTAGAGTCTATTTTGAATTTTTTTTAATGAATCAAATTTATCCACAATTCTGCAATTGTGCTTTATGCATTTGGGTTAAAGCTAAGCCCTGTCAATGGACTACAGTGTTCACAATGGGTCTAGTCACACCATTACATCTCTGATATCAGCTGCTGCTTGTTCATTAACTATGTCTGCAGAGAAGTGGACATCCATACTATATGGTGAACAAAGCCAGAAGCCCTTACTTTAGCCTCTCACACTTCTTCCCATTGCATAGGGAGATCTTACCCCGAACCCTGTCTTGTCTGACCTCCTTTAAGCTTTTACTAAACATTACTTTCTTATGTGACCTTATACTGTGAATTGCATGAAAATCACAGCTCTTTCCACCAATAAAACAAAATCCCCACACTTTGATCTATTTTATCCCTAATTTTATAATTTCCTGTGTGTTAAGTTTCATGAAAGCAAATACTCTTTCATGTTGCATAAATGAGAGTATTCCTAAAGCCACAAATAAAGTTTAGCATGGGGTAAGTGCTCAACTGATAGTTGTTGAAAAAATAAATGAAAGAATAAGTGAATTAGTGAGTGAAAGACAAAACTGGATCCGGCGACCCTGATTTGGAACCAAATATTTGACTTTGTCTGTGTTCTAGATTTGAACCTGGCATTTAAAAACAATTTTGAACATTATCCTTTCAAAAAAATTTTGGTAACCTAAATATTTTCACTCGGCTGCCATACCAGCTCTCACATGTACAGAAACATCTGGCTAGTTTATTCTTCCATTTCATGCCCTTCCCATTGCAAGTTTTCACTGTAAGCTAGTCACTTCTTTTAACTTTGTGTGGAAATTGCCTTAAATCTTGTTTCTCCCAGGATAAGTAATTTCCTCTACCTACTATGGTAAATTAAGGAATAAAACCTGGGTGATAAAAAAAACTAGTAAAATTTCAGCATTTTTTCCTTCTAATGTCTTTTGTTTAAAGACCAAAGATAAAGTTTTCAGCATTTTGGGAAATATTGTATTTGAGATGGAACTTATTCTCAGCTAAATCAATAATTCAGAAACAGGTCTTTGAGGTTATAAAATACATGGATTTGTTTTTTCTAAGTGAAACTTGTACCAGATGGCACAGCAAATTTTAAGAACTGAAATAAACAGATAAAATGATTCCAGAAGCATAAGCAAGAAAATGGAAGGAAAAATGGCTAGAGGTTATGGAAATTCTGGAAGTTTGCTTGTTTGCTATTGTTTTGAGTTATGAATAGATTGTCATCCTCCAATGCTAATATATTTCATGCTTTATTGTTGATATTCACTTTTTCTTCGCATTCATGTGAAAGAACACTCTGAGTTGATGCTTAAGTTAAATCATTCAACCTAAATGAGAAAGTAAAATCATTTAATGAAAATAAAATATATACAAGTCTTTTACATGGAGGGTCAGACCTTTCCTCTTACACTTTCTTTTTTATCACTACATTAATTTTAGCTGGAATTAAAAGGACCAGTAATAATTGCACAGATGAGATGAGGGTGTGTCTGCCGGACTGGGACCTAATCAGTGAGACCTGCTTCTTTCAATCTGAACATGAAGCTATTTGGGCTGAGGGACAAAAACACTGCAGAAAATATTATGCATCTCTGGCAAAGATCGTCTCCCGGACTGAAATGGTTAGATTCCTTCTCAATGCACATCTAACAATTTGAAGCGCTGTTATACAGGAAGCATATTCATAGGGTTTGATCACTTAGACAACAGTCAAAGATCTTTGTCCTGTGGAGATTACATCCTACAGGAGGGAACAGGCAATGAAACGCAATCATAGTATGTATATGAATTACATAATATGTTAGAGATTAGTAAGTTTTATGCAAAAGGGTACAAATTAATTGATATTATGTGGTCACCAAGTGGGTAAGTTGCCGGCAAAGCTATAGCTCCTTAAGGTTATGATATCTGAGCAAACGTGTAAAGGAAGTAAAGAAGTTAGTCAAGGCAGTCTCTAGGGAGATCGCCTGAAAAAGGAAACTCCTGGAGAACAATTTTCAGGTCAGGGCTGGAATGCTGAAGGAACAGAAAAGAGGTGGCCAGTCAGTATATCTAAAGGGAAGTGAGGGTGTGGATGTGTATCATAAGGGTTTTGTAGGCCATTGTAGAGACTGTAGGTTCTTATCCCAAGCAAAATAGGAAGATGTTTCACAATTATGAGCAAAATGGTAATATGCTCTCCCTCCAGTGTTAATGGAATCGTTTTCCTTGCTGTGATGAGGTTAGCAACTGGGTGACATAAAAGGCAGGAAATTACCCTACCAAGCAGTTGCGATAAACCTAGTAAAAGATAATGGACTGAGGCAAGGAGAGTAGCATTTTATGTAGTGAACATGAGAAAGGTAGGTGAGATTTATGACACTGGTCTGTATTTTGCCCCAGGAATCTGTGGTCAGTTATCTGAATACATCTACATATTGGATTGGACTGAGAAAACACCCTTCTGATAACATCTGGAGATGGATGGATGGAAGTCACTTTAACAACTGGTAAGCCTTATTAACATTTACTTATTATGAAATGTGTTAAGCATGGTAAGAATTCCGTGTAGATGAGCAGCTACCACTATAGTTTCCTCTACACACTTTCCCTAAATAGACATCAAAGAAAACTTTTCAGAGAGCCTGGCTTTCTTCAGGGAACCTAAGGTCAACATAAACTTCCAGGTGTAGAATTTGACTGCTCCACGTGTGAACTTCAAGTGTTCTGTTTATCCCAGATTTCGTGCAAGTGTAATTAGTTTGCTGCTTGCTTCTTCCCACTTGGGTCTTTTGTACTCATTTATTATTTAGGCCAGGCCTTTGACTTTTCCTTTGATGGGAGTGTATTCAATGATGTAATGAAGCCTACAGTTTGCACAGTCATCAGGGATGAAAATGAGGAAAGAAAATACTTGCTCACTTTACTTTTATTTAAAATCCCTGAGCTCATCTGTATTCTTTAGGTTAACTTTACTTAGCTTCCATTTTGCTCTAAAAATATTTAAAGATTTCCCTAATTTGAGCAGATAAAATATTTAGAATGATATTATGTTCCCCATGGAGAAATCATTAGGTTCCATTTACTGCGTGGCTGTTTTATGACAGACACTAATTCTGTGGCATAATATAATGTACCAGGTGCTATGTTATGTATATTACATGATACATTTTATGGGCAAAGTTTGTAAAATTAGAGGAACTTACATGATTATTATATTTACTTCATGTCTTGGGTGAAAGTGCACAATGACTTGAAAGCAATAGTGTGATTTGAGAGTAACAATTACATTTTAACCTTGAAAAATGTAAGATAAAGTAGTATATAAATTAATTTTATGCCTAGAATGTAAGCTAATATTTATATTTTCTTGAAATATTAACAGCAAAATACAGTGCTATACTTTATATACAGAGATTTTTAAAAACAATGACGAAAAACAAAGCTTTTCATTGAAAAAAATCCATATATTTCTGTAGTAATGTCTCTATAATAAATGCTCAGCCTGGGCAGCTTAAAAACAGTTCTGGAGGCCAGCAGTCCATGGGTAAGGTCCTGGCAGTATTGGTTTCTTCTGCAGCCTGGTTCCTTATCTTGTAGAAGGTGAATGTCTCAATTTGTACATGGATTAGTCTCTGTGTGTGCTCAAGTCAGTGTCACAGCTGTTTCTTCTTATGAAAACATCAGTTATATTGAATTAGATATAAAATTCACTAAAGAGAACTCATTTAAATTTAAGTAGACCTTTCAAAGCTTATCTGAGTTATGGTTCCATTTTGGAACAGAGAAGGTTAGGGCTTCAACATAGGACATTTGGGCAGAACATAATTCATAATAGTTGGTGAGTTCTCCGTTGGCACTAAGAAACATAAAGGCATGAAAATACTGTTGGTTCTCTGTACCTGCATGTTCCGCGAGCATGAATTGATACAACCACAGCTTGAAAATGTCAGGAAAAAACAGGTATATCTATACTGACCATGTACAGTTTTTTTTTTCTGGTCATTATTCACTAAATGATACAGGGTCAGAAGTATTTACATAGAATTTGCATTCAGTTAGGTAGTACAAGTGATGCAGGGATCACTGACAGTCTATAGGAAGATGTGTATAGGTTATCTGCACATACTACATTATTTTATGCAAAGGACTTAAGCATCTGTGGATTTTGGTATCCACCAAGGTGAGGTCTTAGAACTAACACCTTGAGTGTAATACGGGGTGACTATACACAGATATTTTGGACATAGGCCAGATCAAAATTTGAAAGCAACCTAGAAGTTAATAAAGTGTACAGCATTGTTGCCAAGCTCCAAAACCTGAAGCGTGGAACACATCTGAGTTCAGTATAACCAGAAACCATCATAACTTAACGTTCTGTTTATTCATTTTGAATTTTCAGTTTCATGCATTTAAATCTGATCTAAAATGTGAATTGAGAAAATCTTTTGTAGATACTTAGTTTATGATACTCCATACATCATGCTGCATCAAGCTGAGAATACTTATTTTACTAGGGTGATAGCTGCAGAGTGGCCCAAAGAACATGGATTTCAGCACTAGATTGCACCATTCTTATGATGCATGCGAGGTGATCAATGAAATGTTAATTATGTCCCGCTTTGTATCATTTGTAAATGTCTAGATTCATTTTTTGATTCACTTTTTTAAATTCTAAAGCATAAAGAGAAGAATCCAATACCCCACAAAACTATTTGCATTTTTTATAAATTAGTAAAAGCAAAAAGTGCCAGGACTGTTTCTTTAGTGCAATGGATTAACATAGTTTCCTCTCCTATGCACAGCCAGAGTCCTGGGCTAAAGCTTGGAGACTGATTAATGGAGAGAAGCAGAGGAGATTTCACTTCCTCTGCTCTTTCCACTGTTCACATTTGGAAACATGGTTACTAATGTACACATTCAGTATCTGAGGCTGTGCTTGGTTACTTTCTATGAGATCCAATAAATAAAGTTTCTCTCTCTCTCTCTGTTTTCTAGGTTCACCATAACTGGTTCAGGCAATTGTGCCTTTATAAGTGACCGTGGCATGGGCATTAGCAGCTGCAATGAAACAAGAAGATTTTTGTGCAGCAGAAGAAGTCAATGTGTTTAGAATTGTTTTATACTGAAAATAGAGAAAAACTTTCACATTTTGTACATTTTAAATTCATGCAGATACATTTTTCCTCTCAGCATGTTTTAAGTGTTGATGAAATTTTAAATAAATTTCACTTAAATTTAAGTAATTGATAAGAAGCTTAGGAATTAAGAGTTTCACACGGTGGTGTTGCCACACCTCTTAAACTGGCGTATGCGTACCAGTGGCCTCAGAACTGGTTTCTCAGCAAGGCCTCAAGCCACAGAGTGGAAAGAGACTGAAAGGGAAAGAAAGACCCTTCTAGCTCTCTGAAATTCAGCTGAATCTGCCTAAAAGAGGGAAAAGCAGCAACTCCTAAATGCAACAGAGTGGAAAGGGACTCAAAAGGAGAGAAAGGTTTGTCTACCTTCTGTAATTCAACTAAATCTGCCAAAAGGAGGGAAAAGAGTTGTAGCTTTCTACTGTCTTATCAAAGAATTATTTCCTTATTCCCTATAATGGTCTGAACAATCTTTCATCCTTACACCGGGTAATCTGAGCAGTGTAGTTGAGGATAGCGATATGTAATGTCACAACCACTGTTGATTCATATTATTTTGTCTTGAGACGCTGTATCACTTTGAATGTTCTTGCTTTGATTTGTTTATGTCTGTGATACTGGTATGCTGCTACTGTTCTATTTCTTTATTTGTTTGTTTCTCATTTACTACTCTCTTTAAAATACAAAAAAGTGCTTCACGCATAGTAGCACTATGTAACTTATTTAGAAGTTGGAAAGAAGGCCCATGGGTGAAATACTCAGTGGTTGGTAAGGCACCTTGTGCTGCCATCAGAGACCAAATTTTCTTGAAATAAAATTCACACTGAGACATAGACAACTCCCCATGATTCTGTGCTTCCTTAGTCTAGTTACTAAGTGGAAGAACCACTTAAATTAACTAGATGTGCTGTTGCTATTATTTCTGAATGTGGTGAAGAAATCAGGCCTTGTGACATTCATCACAGTGAGCAGAACATGAATATTTGGAAAAGAACATGAGGAAAGAAGACCTAGTTGTCACTAGTTGCCATGGGTTCTTAGAGTGTTGACTTTACCTTATCATTTCCCCTCTGTGGGTCAGTGCCTTCTAAAAGGGGAGGATTCCATAAGGGCTTCCAGGATGTTACCAATAGTCTGAGAGCATTTGCTCAGTTTGGATGGAAATCACAATTTGGCAAGTGGAACTTTCAGCCCTTGATTTTGTAGCTCTGAGCTACTGTTTCTCCTCCTCTTCCCATTTTTCCTTCCTCATCCTCTTTATACATTTTTCTTCTCCTCTTTCTTTCACCCTTCATCATTCTCCTCCTGCTTTTCTTCTTCTTAATTCTCCTCACACTCCTTTTGCTCCTCCTCCTCCTCCTCTACTTCTTCTTCTCTTCCTTCTTTTTAAGTCCTGCTTCTCCTCTTCCTTCTGTTGCCCCTCATTCTCTTTTTCACTCACCTTTCACTCCTTCTTCTTTTTCTTCCTTCCTTCATTCTCCTCCAACTGAACTCTCTTGGTGGCTGTCTAGAGCTCTTCAGCAGCTTTGGGAATCTCTTACACATATTTACAGGTCTCCATGGGTCTTGGCTTTGCACTGCTCTACCACACTGGCACATTCAGAAGCCATCTGGCTGCCAAGTACGCTCAAGGCCAAAGCCTGCAGTATGATACACTTTTAGTGAAATCTATTTATTCCTTTCCACTGAGTTAAAATCATGAGAAGGCAGTAAAATCAAGGCTTTGCTGTGACCTGTTGGGCAACACAGGTGTGTGGTGTCCAGAAGAGAGCACTCCTGGCCTAACTGGAAAAGGGTAACGGAGTGCATGCTCATTGTTCTGCATTTTTGGGGAACTATTATGGGGACTTGATTATACTAGGCAGAGTCACCTGGAGAGATTTCAAAGTGATGCCATCTTGGATAGGTCTGCTGGAAGTGTGCAGCAGCCAATTTAAATATCTCCAGTGTGGCCATAAGCCATCCAGAATAACCTCAGCTGTCACAGTGACAGCTCCTGCGAACTATACAAGTGGCTGCTGTACAGCTCCTGCCATTGCCACCTGAACCTGAAAAGCCAAAGTTGTGATTACCACTACTTTGAAAGAGTTTCTAGGAGCAGTGGCTGGAGTTTGATCATCACTCAATAGGATTTGGGGATTTGGGGTAGATGGCAGTGGAGCCCAGGCCCTCACATATCTTTGCCCTGTGAAGAACGTTCTTCCAGCTTCTCCTCAGGGAGAGGCAGTAACACCTGAACAGACAGGAGCGAGGGAGGAACATCACAGCCATGGGTCCTGTAAGTGAAGATGGAGCAACCTGTGCTGTAGGGTGCTATGGAGACAACCTCAGTGGTGGCTGAAGACCTGCACTAGTTCTGGGTCACCTTCAAGAAAACAAAGGGGAGACAAGATGGTGGTCACTGGATGTCTCAGAGTTGGGCCTTTTTATCACAGCGTTATGGTTGATACATTGTGTCAACTTGGGGAGTCTAGAGGTTTGGCTAAGTGACTCAGCAGGAAGCCAGGGTGCTTACTTTGCATACATCCTGAGCCTGTGGAAGAGGAGGGCATGGAGATTATGTGAGAGCTACAGGGCCCTTAGGTGGGTGTAGCTTGTTTACAATGTAAGGGAGGGAAAGAGGCTGCTTGCCCTGATTCCTCCTTTTTGCTCTGGCTGTTTGCTGTTTGGCTACCATTCCCCACTTTGCTATTGCTGCTTTTTCTACCTTCTGCCTCAGAGCCAACCAAGTATGAACTGAAACCTCCACAAACTGTAAGCTAAATAAACCTTTCTGTCCTTCATTTTGGCATTGGGTATTTTGTCTCAGCAACCAGAGAAAAGTAACCAAGACACATAGGTCATTGTGACTTGAAAGGAATGATGATTTCTCTGGATTCTCAAAGACTAAGGAGCTTAGGTTTTGGGTAATACTTAAACAGATTTCTGAGGGACAGAGAGTTAACATCTTTTTAAAAAATTTTTTTATTGTTATAAATTTCTTTTAAAAATAAAACAAGGAAAACATATCAACAAACAGACATCCATTTACAAAATAGCATAAGAACAATGCAAACAATACAGAGTTACAAACAAAGTGGTAGGAAATTAACAGTGGTTATTACGTATTGATATCTACAAAGTGGTTTCTCAGGAAAACAAGTAGAGACATGCGGTATTCATCAAACAAGTAATCATTAACTCTTCCTTTCAGTAAAGCAATAGAAAACAGAAGTACAACTATGTTAGCTGTCCTGTATATGCATAAATAAATGTAGAGAAATTGAAATCATCCTGTGCATACCATCTGACAGTAGTGCAATAAAATGAAATGAATGGCAAAAGGAATAACAAAAACTACATAAACATGTGGAAATTGAACAACATACTTCTGAACACCAATGGGTCACAGAAGAAACCAACACAAATCAAACAGTATATACAATTAAGTGATTATGCAGGTACAACATACTGAAACTTATGTGTCACAATGAAAGCAGTCATATGAAGGAAATTTATAGTGATGAAATCTCACATCAGGAAAACAGAATGAGCTCAAATAAACAACATGTTGAGCCTCCAACTTGTAGGAAAAGAACAAATCAAACCCAAAACTCTTATGAAGGAAGAAATTATAAAGATAAGAGAAGAAATTAATGTAATTGAGAGTAAGAAAACTATACAAAGATCTGATGAATTTAAAATTTGGTTCTATGAAAGAGAAAAGAAAATTGATAAACCATTGGCCAATCTCATCAATTAGAAGAAAAAACCCCCACAAATTCAAGCAATTAGGAATAAAAAGGAGTGAATCACAACAGATAGTATAGAAATTCAGAAGACCATCAATATCCACTAGGAGAACCTATATTCTAATAAGATGGAAAACACAGAAAAAATGGACAGATGTCTAGACATAATTGAATTGGCAAAACTAAATTAAGAAGATATAAAAATCATAAATAACCTCAATTCAGCCTTGAAATTGAACATATAATTAAAAATTTACCAACAAAAACAGCCCAGCCCCTCATATATCTACTGTTGAATTCTACAAGAAATTTGGAGAAGAACTAATGCCACTAATGGTGAAACTTTTCAAAGAAATTCAAAGGGAAGCAGCACTTCCAAATCCATTTCTGGAAGAGGACATTACCCTGATATCAAAACTAGAGAAGGACTCAAGAAAGAGAACTATAGGCCAATCCCCCTAATGAACATAGATTCAAAAATCTTCCATAAGATACTAGAAAATAGAATGCAGCCAGTCATCAAGAAGATCATACACTATGACCAAGCTGGATTCATCCCACGGGTGCAGGGTTCAACATATGCAAATAAATAAACATAATACACCATATTAACAGAACCGAAGGCAAAAACATATGATCACCTCAGTAGATGCAGAAACAGCTTTTGATGAAATCCCGGTGCCATTCATGATAAAAGCTCTGAAGAAATTTTGAATAGAGAGTCTCCTGTCTGCTACCTGCTTTCATCAAATATTGGCCTTCTAAGCCTCCAAACTCCATGAGACAATTCCTTAATAATAAACAAATCACTCTCTTATGTAATACAGTAGACACACACAGAGTTTTATTTTTCTGGAAAATCCACAGGATTACAATAATTTCACTTTACTTGTAACTAATAAATACTTCCACACAACGAGCTATGGAACATAACTCCTCAGTCATTAAGTGTAGCCTGTACATAGCAGCTTTCTTTTAAAGATTGTACAGGGAGAAGGGGAAATAAAAAGAATAATTTTACAATGGAGATACCTGACAAGCGCTACCCTAGAGAGGTGATCAATAGTCAAAAATTATTTTGATAATATATACCCCTGATATCATGAGGTAAAATAGCATCTTACATCTGGGATCTTCCTCTAAACAATCAACAACCCCAATATTATTACTAGAAAAATATATTATTTTAACAGAAGGGTAATTTATAACATACCAGAGCAATATTCCTCAAGAGCTAATGTACCAGGATCACCAAAAATAAGAAAATTCCAAAAAATGACCACGGCAAAGAGGAACCTAAGAGCCATGACTACTTAATGGAATAGGGTAGCTGGGATGGGATTCTAGTACAGAAAAGAAGTCTAGGTGAAAACACAAATATATCAAGAACTTAACTGATACTACATCAATATTGGTTTATTAGTTGTAACAAATACACTTGTTTATAAAAGATGTTAATAATAGCAGACATTCTATACAGTGACAGATTATACAGAATCATTACATATTATCACTTTAATTTTTCTGTGAATATGAAACCATCCTTAAACATAACATACATTTAAAAATTCAGTTAATTCATACTGGTGAGAACATAGCCATCAGCATAATGTTCTAATGTGATAAAAAGAGAAACATGCCTAGAAAGTTAGAAGGGAGCAAAGATATTAGAAAAGCACTATAACCTTTTTTCACAATCAAGTTTGCATAGTCAAACATATATACAGAATTTTTGTTCCATATAATTGTACATTTCTACCTAAACATGATCATTAGATTCCACTTCTTGGTATACTCCTACCTGAGGCTCTTACTGGAAACTAGATTTGGTTTCTTTACATACTGTAGGCAGCAACTAAATTTCAGGAACATTGTTTTACCTTTCTTGCAAGTATCCTTTACACACTCCAATTTTATGTGAATCAGGTTGTTTATAGTTTCTTTTTCTTTAACATGCTGAGAATATATTTGAAACAAAAGTGGAGAAAAGATCCATTCATTTTCCTGGTAACATTGTGATTTTGCTGTTTCCTGTTACTTTATTGCATTCTTCAAAAACCTAAAAGCCTTAAATACCCAATTACCTAAATAGATGGCACGTAACTGTAAAAGATTATTTATCACCCCACAGTGAAAAGAACAAACTGCACTGATTTTGACATCTTAGATATCTCTGTATCAATCAGGGTTTACTAGAAAAACAGATATAATACAAGATATATAAATGTATAAGAAATTATAAGTTTGGCTTATAATGGTCAGCCACAGAGTTGGATGAGGAAGTGTGCAGAGGGTGTCTGCATGCTGGAGACTGAAGAGCCCAGCCCTGGGCCTGGAGCTCACTGCAGTACCTGTGCAAGTCTGCGTCAGGGGGCTGATGGGTCTATGACGGAATGTTGAAGAATTTATGAGGAAGGCCAGAGAGCCTACAGCAGAAGTCTGAAGGGTCCCAGGCAGAAGCCAAACAGTCTGTACCAGAAGCCAGGAGATGACCAAGCTGAAGGCAAAGACTAGAGCTCCTCCAGAGTTCCAGTAGCCAGTTTTTTTCTAATTTTTTTTTTTTTTTAATGCAGCCTACCTCCTCTGGGGGGGTGGGGGTGGTCCTCGACACCCACACCCTCTGCATGCCTTCCTCTTGCACAGGCTCAGGATGAATACAAAGTAAGCACCCTGGCTCCCTGCTGAGTCACATAGTTAACCTTTCAAACTTTTTAAATTGACACAATAAACAACAACCCAGAAGGGCAAGGGCATGTCTTTTTTACCCCAAGATGTAGAACTGCTGAGTCACTTAGCCAAGCCTCTAGACTCCCCAAGTTGACACGATGTATCAGTCATAACAATCTCCAGTACCATTTTAAAGATTAAGCGAAAGAAGACAAAACAGCTCCAACATATTTAAGGTTATGTTCTCTTTCAATACTTAATATAAGTTGCATGCAAGAGGTAAATCTTAGGGGAGGAGAGTGAAAGGCAGATAAATACTTGCAATGCACAGCCTGTGACTTTGGGGTAAGGATGAATTAGCTGATTATGAGTAACTCTGGGTTCCCTTAGAGAACGGAAAATTTTTAAAAAGGAACCCAACATTGATCAATAGTGCATTTTTCTCTTCTTTTTCTCTCTTAACTCTCTCTGTCCGGGTGACTCTTATTGATCAGTCCACCCACACACTCTTGACTGTCCCAGTTTGTATGTAACTCACTTTCCTTTCCAGAAACTGAATTTTCTCTGTCATTTTACCTATGGTTTTAACCTGGCCCCACCACATTCTACTGCCACTAAACCCATCCTTGAAATGGATCTTCAGTAACATTCCAGGGCCACTTATTAGTCACCTTCTTGATGGACTTTTTGTGATACTTGACCTAGTTCTTTTCCTTAACTTTTGGACACTGCTCCTTTCTGCTTTGCCTGTCCTTTCGTGCTACTGCTTCTCGTACTCATCATAAGCTCCTCTTCTTCCATCCAGCTCTTTTAAAATGGAACGTTTCCTGGTTTCATTCTTACTTTTGCTTCTCATACTATTATGCTGTTTCCACAATATATCCCCATAGTGTTACCTACTGCCTACACGTGACTTGCAAAACTCAGAGCTTTCTGCTGAAATCCATACAATATGTCACGAGATATGTACATTTGAGGTTCCACTCAAAATGCCCAAGTATCAGTGTTCATCTTCCAAAGTAAATTTGCTGCTCATTGTATATTGTCTACTTGTTTGGATAACTGCATAATGGTGAGTTTATCAAGACTGAGTCCTCGCTTCACATTTAACTTCTCTGTACAAACCTTTCTAATTTAGTATGATTCTATTGGCTGATTTTCAGTATTACTTCCTGTGCAACTGGGGTTCTGTTTAGATAGTCCTGTCTACTTCCATGCTTTCAAAATGTTTACCCATTTTATCTTCTAGCATGTTTCGTGCTTCCGTTTTCACGTTTACTTCTTTGATCCCTTTTGATTTTGTTTTGTACTTGATGAGAAATAGGGGTCTAGATTCAGTCTTCTGTATATGGATAGGTTGTTTTAGCAATACCATTTATTACAGATGCTAAAGTGCTTTTAGCCCTTTGTCACAAATCAAGTAGTTGCGTGTGCTTGAGGTTGTTTTGCACACTCTATTCTGTCCTGCTGATCCTCATGTCTGTTTTTTTCCAGTACCGTGCTGTTACTGTCACATAGCCTCTGCACTTCTGCAATCCTGGTTCTTCCTGACTGTAATATAACTTCAAACCCAGGATTGTAATACCTCCTACTTTGCACTTGATACCCACTATTGATTTGGCTTTTCTGGATCTATTGGTTCCATATGAATTTTATGATTGCTATCTCCAGTTATGTTGTAAAGAATGCTGTTGGCATTTTGATTGGTTTTCTTTTTTTTTTTTAATCTTTTACTTTTTTATTTTAAAAATAAAAGAAGAAAAATATTAACGGACAGACAACCTTTTACAAAATAGCAAAAGAACAGTACAGACAATACAGAGTTACAAACAAAGTGGTAGGAAATTAACAATGCTTGTTGTATTACATACTGATATCTTCAGAGTGGTTTCTCATGAATACAGATAGAGA